TGTGAAGGTAACTGGGAGCTCTGGAGTGGGAGCCGGTATCCTCCTAGTCTAGCCACGGATTTAGGGACTAAACACTGAGATTAGCCAATGATTTTCTTTGCACTGTATCAGGGTAGAGAATTAAAATTGCTCCTATTCGGCACAATACATATTATGAACAGTTATCTCATCTTATTTTACCATAGCCTCATTGTAGTGTGAATGATGCTTTTTCACATAAGAATCTCCGTTACATAAACATAGTTAATAGATTAGTATTTACTATTTTAAATTTTGCATATTTGATTTGATAATAGTTTAGAAATTTAATTTTGATTACATCTCAACAATTGAAATTAGTGATAGTGATTTCAATTGAATTTCTGTGAATTTCCTAGCAAATTTGTCATTTTCAATTTAAACCTTCCTCGTATGATCGATATTTGGGGCTTAAATAGAAAGTTCATTATTACTTGATAATGATACATATACTTGCATAGAATCCGAATATTAATTGATTATATTTAATTACATTTTACACAATCTATCGCAACAAAAAACTCAGATCAGCTCTCACTAGGCATCTATGCGATGCCACCATACTTTCTCTCTTTGTCCAAAAATAGAATTGAAACCCTTTAATCCTCTAGTTGTGAAACTTCAACAACTCTGGGAAGGTTTTTTAGTCGGCTAATCATTAGCCATGGTAGGGGGCTGAGTAGTCAGGTTGCTCGACTTGCCACCCCCTTCCTTCCCTTGAAGTGTATTAAATCAGACGATGCAACCTCATCCCCTAGGTATTCCACCCATTTCTTCTTGTGAGCAAGTTGCTTCACTCGCCTTTCCCTCTTGGGTCGGCTTCCATCTTCAAGCTACTTAGTGCCACTATGCTTCTTTTTGCACTTGGGCTGGCTCCCTCCTTTTGCCTCTTTGTTCCCAAGGGCCTCTTTTCACCCTTTGATTGGCTCCCTCTATCCAACCTTTTTTTTCTCTTGAGCTTCTTCTTAGGGCGATATTTCGTCGCTGACAGTCCAAAGGCATTCATCAGCATTTCCTCAGGAGGAAAACCTTTGTGAGTTTCTTAACACACATTATGAGAACACTCTAGAAGCCTGCCTACTGAGAGGCATTTACTTAAAAGCAATACAAATAAAAAAAGAGTCAATCACACCCTATTTATAAAAGCTATGGACATGGAAACTCGAGAAGTTTAATTATTAAAGTGCTGGTTGCGGAGTAAATAAATCTACTTTTTTGCATTTAGTTCCCTTATTCTTATCGCAGTTGTACTTTTGAAGAAGAAAAAGAATCATAAAAAACAAAATATAAACGGATTAAAAGATATGAAAGTACAGTCATGGATGGCCCACAAAAGGAAGACCCAATGTCTCATCATCGAAAGATCAAATGACTTAATTAACTATGTATAGATCCCTTAGGTTGGGAATTGAAGTCGACTGAACGCAGGTTATCTTAGCCAAAAACCAAAATTAATCGAGCTAAGAGAGGGCAACAACCCTACTCTTGCCTCAGCATCACTAGCCACCTCATAACGGTATCTGAAACTCTTCATCAGGAGGCCAAAGGTTTTATTAATATATACTCCATGAACACCCCCAAAGAATTTTTTGGCAATGGGTGAGCTACCTATCGGATTATGGTGATTCACCCTCTGTCCAACAACCTAATATGATTCTGATGATGGAAGCTTCACATCTAGGTGTCAATAGTTGACATTCAAACCAAAGCAGCCGGCCGGTAGAATCAAGCCGACAGTCCCAACTCATCATGGTCAGACAAATTACCCTTTGTCGAACAAAGGGCTGCTAATCTCAGTCAACCGAGAGGTAGGGTAGTTGAGACATAGGCTCTTTTATGTAAATACCGCCTAACAACTCATTTATGTAAATACCCTATGCATGAAAAAATATCTCCTTTCAAATGGTATTTTTTATGTAATATTAAAAATTTGAGACCTCATATGTGAACCATAAAAAATGCAATCAATCTCTTCAAACTTACTGAACACAAAAAAAAATTCCAAGTGTGTGTGTGGTTTAGATGTTAAAAATGTAAAGACATAGGAATTGAGTGGTACCGTATGTAGATATTCCAACAAAATTTTAATTTTTATATTTATAATGCTTCTGCATGAAAAAATGTCTCCTTTTAAGGAAGTTGAAAATAATGACATTTTTTATGTAATATTAAAGATTCGAGTGTTATAAATGTCAAAATACAAAATTAAGTTATAGTTGTGATATCAAAAATCAACTCATTAATATGATGTCAACTATTCTTTCACGTTAATAATTTTAGCCCTCCATGCAGAGGGAACCTCATATAAGAACCATTGAATGCGGTTAAGTCAGGAGCTACATAGCATACAATCAAAATTCTAATTAAATCAAATCCGTCCAAAATCAAATCAACATAATCAATCCAATTGAATGCATACAAAATGTTACAAATAAAATTTTACATTATTCAAATGTTACATTATAGTTCTCTACTGTCAGGCTCTTATGTTAGTGGAGTTCAAGTTACTAACATTTGTTTTTTGCAATCTTACAGCAAGTTGATAATAGCTACAGACCATCTCCAAAATTAGAACAAAATACAACAAAAATAATGCTACTAAGAAAATAGATGAATAATACCCACTCTGCATTATTCAGCTCTAATAATGGCCATAACCGGGCGGCGGTGGTGGCCGAGGCCTTTTGTTCAAGCCTCGATCTAACACAACATATCTATTATTACTATAATTCGTCGGTTGTGGGTTCGTGTTCGTTCTTTCAAACTGAGCCTGATGCGAAGGCGGTCCTCTCCTTGGATCATATTGTGGATTCCATTGCGGCCGAACTCCGTATGCGTTGAAGCCGCCATATCCAGACCGAGCAGGGACGCTTCCATGAACGGGCTGTTGGATGACATTTCTCGTCGCGACTGGGTATGCCGACGTGCCATACTGTGGGTGGCTTTGAGCCGGAACTCTTTGCTCGTAATGTGTAGTATTCCTAACACCATATTCGTTTCTTTCAAATTGATGGTGACTACTATGATGTTCATTTCGTTTGAATGGATGGTTTTCGGATCTCTCGTATCGATAACTTGAAGAGGTAGAAACAACATTGTACCGTTGCGACTGACCAATGGCATGTCGTTCCTCTCCAGCAGCAAATGGAAGTTGTCGTCCATCCGAATATGGAAAGGAGTTGGGTGAATGTGGAGGATGTGATGACGGATGAGGATGCCTTCTTTGCTCCATGTTGTCGTGCTCTCGTCCAGTCCGCGCCTGTAAGCTATTGATGACTAGACGATGAGCGGCCTCGCCAAGTTGTTTGCCAGAGTAAGATCCTGGGGGGTTTTGCCTGGATGTGGTGCTTTAGATTAAACCTCCAAATAGTGAGTTAATTAATTAATTGATATTAGGAAAATTTACATACATACATACCAAACAATTCTTATGTATTTACATATCTGGCATCTAAACGTTATATTTACATATAAAACAATGACGTCATAAATCAATGCTTGAAAAGGTGATATTTACTTTTGAAAAAAAAAAGCAATGGCTGTAGTTTTGTTGGAGCAAAGTGTCAAAATAGTTATATGACTATTTACAGGAGCAATTCTAGTCCCCCGAGTTTAAAAAAGTGTCAAATTAGTCCCTAAATTCTGTTAATGCCTAAAATAGATCCCGGGGACTATTTTAGCCCTATTAAAAGAATTTGGGGATTAAATTGATATTTATATGGATTTTAGGACTAAAATGGCCTCCTACAACTTTTCTCATTTTTGATTTGATCTTAAAAAATTGAGGGATATACATGTAAATATGAAATTTTCAGTGTTGGATATGTAAATACATAAGAATTTTGTGGTATGCATGTAGTCAAATTATCAGTACCTTCCATTTTCAAGCGGTCTCCTGCCAGTATCTTCATGCCACAGAGCAGGTGGAGGCTTCAAATCACCGATGGTAACAGTCTGAAACCAAGAGAAAATAGAACAAGTTAACGGTCGTGACTAAAGCATTGCTTGTTCAGTAGAAAAAGGAATCACATTATCTACAATAGCTTCAGCTAAAAGATCTGCAAATTGAAACAACAACACTTTGTTTAGGAATACTTTACATACATATCTAGCACCTAAACTTCAATTTTTACACACATACACTTCACCTATGCATGAGAAGATGTATTCCACCTTTTAAATGTTAAAATGATGGTATCTTTGATATGATATGAAAGGTTTAAGTGGTATAAATGTAAAAAGTAAAAATTAGGTGTTACATATGAAAATTCATAGGAATTGAGTCGTATGTACGTAAATGTGTTAGACCGGTGCCTGCAGTGTCGTCCGGCAAAATAATTTGAAAATTTGTGTTAGACACAAGAAAAAAAGAACAATTCAGTCATTTGTTAGTTATTCTTGTCGAGCATAAATAAGGATTAATATATATAGGGTTAGGGGAATGTGTTTTTATTGTCTTGAATCTTAGGGTTAGGATTTGGGAGAGTTTGACTGCCTCTCAAATTGCAAGTGTTTATCTTTTAAGTATTTGTATTGTGTTGTTTTGTGCTGGTAAAATAAAATATTGTGTTTACCCCAATTTCTATGGAAGTTGCATCTTTTCTATCAAAACTCCGCTTATTTTTATAGTGCATTATATCACCTATTACAAAATAGAGTAAAAGTGAATTTGAGTGAAAATGACAAACTAATATTCAGATAAATAAGCATCACATATCCTGAACAGGCTTTGTGTCGATTAATCGATGAGACTAATGACTGAGATAACTTTTAAATACTTTAAAAAAATATTACAAAACAAACGGTTTACGAGAGAGGCAGCAATAGTCAAAGCTGCAAGTAAGAACAATCCTATGAGGTGATCCTGCAAAATTTATTTCAGGAATATTTTATGAATAGTAATGTTAAAAAAGCTCTAATTGATATTTTCAGTAGATCTGCCAACAGCATATGTAACTTATTCTAACTAGTTTGCTATAACAGCAATTTTGAACAGGAAAGAATTCAAAATATGAAAATATTAATTTAAAAAACCATTAAAATGATCGACTGACTATAATTTGGGAGTCCATTTTAGTCTTAGTTTTTATATAAAATGACCGAATTAGTCCCAGACTCCAGAACCAAATAATGCCACCATTAATAGTAATGTAAATTGAAATTAGAATGAACAAATTGTATTAAAGGGAGGATAGTTTAAAAATTTACAACTTAAAATTTTTCCAAAGTCTAGTAAATGATACTTTTAATCTTTGGGACATTTTGAAAAAAATTATTAATAATAGTTCCTAAAATTTATAATTTCATCTGTTAATATCATCATTCCAAGTTTTTTTAAAAATGAAGAGATGTTGAGAAGGTTATCGATAGATTTACATACATAGCACTTCCAACTTACGTATTTACATGTTTCGCACACTAAACTATAATCTTACAGCATTTGAACGCAAAACCTTCTTGTAACACTCCCGTCAAACCCTTAGTCATCTTCTTTTTCTCACCACCATCTCTCCACTCCTAACTTCACGCATCACCCACGCAATGTGTCAGCGAAAATCTCTCCGCTCGAAGCCACATCGATAAGGTAACTTATTCCTCTATCCTGTACGTGGATCGGCTATGTATGGGTGACGCGGGGCTCCCCCACGTAGACGTAGAAGCCGGTGTCGCACAAAGACGGGAAATAAGCCACTGGCTGAACATACTGGCATAGGGGTCGGTCCAAGGGACCCGGTCCAGGTTTCCAAAAGAGTCAAACAACATTATTGCAGCATTCCTTTCGTATCTCCCGCCCTAACCAAGCAGCTTTGGAGAGGGCGGCATTGCGGCCTACCCTTTTCTCCGCTTTCCTTTTTCGACGTGTTTCCTTTCCTATTTCCCACTTAGCTAGGTCTATATATATTGTTGTTTCAGAGTTTAGGGTTCAGTTTTTTGTTGTGTAGTGCTTTCAAATTCCTCTGTGGAGTTGTTCTACCTGTTCTGGAGTTATATCTGAGGAGGTGGTAGTTCTCCGAGATGTTGATGTATCTTCCCCCTCTCCTCAGCCGCCACCCCCCCTGCAGTCTTACCTTATTGACCAGCACGTTCCTGCCACCCCAAACAGCCCGCATCTTTGCTAACATAGCTTCTGACCTACCAATCCATGCGACCTTCGCCTCGGGACAACAAACCTTTGATGTTCCTCTCACTTTTTCACCAATTTCTTTTTGGCACTTCACAGAATGGCCAGCCCTCTAGCTATTCCTACAGTTTCTCACTTCTACTTTATTGCTTCCACCACTGCTAGCCATCTCGATCCACCTAGGAAGCCCCCACCACCCTAGGAATACACTTCAGAGGTGTTCGCTTGTAACGTTTTATGTTTTGGTGTTGTTATTTTCCGCTTGAATTATGTTGTGACTCTATCTCTTTATTCAGAAAAGTATGTTTTGTGTTTCCGCTGATTTTTCCTACTTATTCCGGTATCATTTGATATCAGAGAAAGCCCAACCCTAGTTCTATTCTAAGGTTTTCTAGCATCTACCTTACCACTCCATCAAAAATTGTCATTCCTGCCCTCAAAAATCTCTTCCGATTTCCCTAAACCCTATCTCCACCAAACTTTACTTCCTATTCCCAATCATAACGAAAACTTTGACCTAACCCTCAATTCCTCTTGCTGAATGAAAATCAACAATCCTAAATTAAATTTTCAGCTCTCTTATCCCCACTTTAAACCCTAGTCATGCCAACAATGAGATCCATGCCCGAGCCTTCCTAGGAGAAGATACAAAAGATCCGCTGACTTCGACAGTCTATTATGGACATAGAAGATGAAATCCAATGGGAAACTACCCTCGATCATGATCCAAAATGTCGAAGGGGGAAATAAGAAGATATAAAGATAAAGTGGGAAATACATCGTCAGTTTCTACCAACTTACTACCGCCCGAGGTGGAGAGACTGCAGCACCATACGACCCCCTGACTACTATCAAGAGAAATCAATCCGCAAGTTTGTCACAGCCAAAAAATGTGGCAAGTGCTACCGATTTGGACATGTTGAAGCAGAATGCACAACTAGTGGAGTGATCTACTTCACCGAGCAGGGTGTCATCGAAAAGTTGGGTAAAGACACCGCGGATACTGAAGACGATGAGGGCATAAATGAGTACCAATTTTCAGTTGAAGAGATGAACGGTGATCAGAAAGAAGATAGAAACAAACTTAAGGGAGGATTCTCATTTTTCAGCCAACTTTTTAGATATTCCAAAACAAGTTAATGCTTTAAATTTCAAAAAATTCAATGCAAGAATGTGAACCGACATGGAATAAAATATAGAGCATTCACATACAAAGCACTCAATTCATATGTATTTACATATGCAACACCTAAACTTCAATTTTTACATATATGAAACCTTCATGAAAATATGTGTATCACTTTTAAAAAGTAAAAAATGGTGGTATTTTTCATGTGATATGAAAGATTTGGGTGGTATAAATATAAAGGTATAGGTATTAGATATGTAAAAACGTAGGAATTGGGTGCTATGTATGTATATGTCCTTCAAATATAAGATACGTTCATCAATTTTACCATATATGAAAGGTGAACATTAAAAGGGTATAGCTGAGACATCATGACAAGGACACATCATGGACAAAATAAAAATAAAAGATCTGAAACAACTGAGGAATAATAATATACATGAAAACATAATTCCAGATAACATTATACAGTGATACAGAAAAAAAATTTATATTTATGACCATTCTGACAAACACAAATTGGGACTTCTTTGCGATAATGATAAAACTAAAGGAGAACAAAAAAAATGAAGATTTACGTACATAACTAAATGCCTATGTATTTAAATATCTAAAGCCTAAACTTAATTTTTTACATACGTGTCACCTTACCTATGCACGAAAGGTATATTTCACTTCTAAAAAGTAGTATTTTTGATGTGATATATCAGATTTGGTTTGTATAAATGCAAGGAAGTCAAATTTGGATATTAGATATGTAAATACATAGAAATTGGACGGCATGTAGGTAAATGCCCCAAAAAGAAAAGTGCAAACATATGAAGCGAGCGATTTGGTATTGAAATGGGCAAGAAGTCTGTGAACGTTTTGGTATTGAGTAAAAGAGATGCATACAATGGTTAACATGACCTTGTCGCCTATGAACATTCTAGTGCCCAACACAGTAACCTCAATTCCGATCTACTTAAATATCTATTACCTAAACTTAATTTTTTACATGCATGACACCTTACCTATGCATGAAAGGTGTATTTCACTTTTTAAAAGTGGTATTTTTGATGTGATATGAAAGATTCGGTTTGTATAAATGCAAGGAAGTCAAATTTGGATATTAGATATGTAAATACATAGGAACTGGAAGGTATGTATGTAAATGCCCCAAAAAGAAAAGTGCAAACATAGACATGGTATTAAAATGGGCAAGAAATCTGTGAACGTTTTGGCGTTGAGCAAAAGGGATGTATGCAATGGTTAACATGATGTTGTCGCCTGTGAACATTATATTGCCCAACACAGTAACCAAGAGAACCCTGCGGCCTCTAAAATTAATTTTCTAACACTCTCCCACTAAAACATCAAGAGTAAGCAAAATATTTCCTAAACAAATTTAAATATCAAAAAAATATGATCTTTACAAAGAAACCGCCGTAAGAAAGTTAATAACAGCAAAAGGAGCATGCGGTTACTAAGAAAAGCAAAAAATTGCAGGTAAAATGTGCAAGTCCTACAAAAGTCCATGCGCACACAGACTGCGTCAGATTAATATTACAAAAAAGTTGCACAAGTAGAAGAATCATTTGGAATGTAATTATTAAAAAGATAATTAAAAGATTAATTCATTACTATGTTTTCATTCCAATGCATTAAGTGAGAAAAAAAGAAATCTAAATGAATTTTGGTCATGTCTAAGCATATATACTACAAACATCTGTAAACCAAACCCAAACCAAACGTTTCCAAAATTAGACTCGCATTCAGAAGCTTAAATAAAGGTAACGAGTTTCAAATAGCTAAAAAAATGAGCAATTGAATAACTCATGGTGCATAGAATAAAAAAGGAGCATTTATATACGCATTTATATACATACCACACAATTCTTAACTATTTACATATCTAACACTCAGGTTTTACTATTTACATTTATACCACCCAAACCTTTCATATCACATCGAAATAACACTATTTAACTTCTAAAAATCATATTACATTCTTTCATGGGAAGGTTGCATACATGTAGAAATTAAACTTTCACTGTTAGATATGTAAATATATAGGAATTAACCAATATGTGTTTAAACGTCTCAAAAAAACTCTACAGCCGAGTAAACAAACAGTAATCCTGACTCGTATCAACATTTATGAATACCTTTTTAGGGAATATAACACCTGGTGGTGGTTGAGTAATGTGTTTGTGGGCATCTGGAAGTTTGTATATTGTACAACTGAGCAAAACAAAAATCATAAATATATTTATCATAGTATTGGGCTGTTGAATTTAAATTTGTAAACCCCTTACATGACTTGATTGTCCATTATATCCTCCAATCCATTGATGGGAGACCTGAAGACAGGCGGACATGGATCCCCATTACAAAGTGACAGATATCCATTCATTCCACCACTGCAAGAAAAAGGAACAAAATTGAAGTAAAACACAAAAAATATTGACATCATTAGCTCTACAAGAGGCAGAACCCCCAAGATTCATAACACTGGAACTATGATAAAACCTATAAATTTGAATACAGAAACAGCCAATGTAGAAGTAGCATAATGATAAACCACAATGCTAGAAACAGTTGCAGAGGATTGATTAAAAGAAGGGGCATTTACATCCATACCACTCAATCCTTACGTATTTACATATCTAACACAATTTTACATTTTACATTTATATCACCCAAATCTTTCACATCACATAAAAAATACCACCATTTTAACTTAACTTTTAAAATGTAAAATACAACTTTCCATGGATAAGGTGATGTGTATGTAAAAATTGAAATTTAGGTTTTAGATATGTAAATACATAAAATTGAGCGATATTTATGTAAATCTTTCTAAAAAAATGGCACGAGATGAAATTATAGTAGCTGCCCCAACTGAATATGATGAATCAAATCAGGAACATAGCTTGAGTGGAGACCAAGGGTCTGTTTGAGGCAGCTGTAGCTTATCAAATTTATTCAAATAAGTTGTTGATCCAGATAAGCTACTGATCAGCAGCTGATTCGGATAAGTTGGCTGACTGTTTAGTTTGTGCGTTTGGAAAACAACTGATTTGCAGGGGTTTCTAGACAAATGACCATTTTGCCCCTGATCTGGATAGACTATTCTACCAACAAAGTTCCATGGAGGTGAAGCACGGATCAAAACCAATGACAGAATTAAGAAGGTAATAAACTTCTCTGTGCATTTTATACTCCTTATTGTACATATTAAACCATTTGGAATTGGAAAAAACCCCACTTTAAAAATTTCTTGCAAACAATGGAATTGGAAAAATTCAAAATTTGTCATTAAAGCTGCATGAATCATCAACACACTTAAAATAGAAAAATTAATAAATGGGTAATTACATACACACGACCCAATTCCTATAAGTCATAATTCTAACACCTAAATTTAAAATTATAAATCTATAAAGGGGCAATTACATACACACCACCCCATTCCTACGTAGTTATAATTCTAACACCTAAATTTACGCATATAAATCTAGGTGTTAGATTCTATTATAAATCTAACACAACATTCCTACTTTTACATTTACAATTATAAATCTAACGCCAATGATGAATAGCCAAAGAGAACAGATTCTTCTGCAAGATTCTGCTATATCCTTGGAGATAGTTGCGATGATGGAGAATTGTTCTCATTGGCGAAGAAAACTGTGATTTGCAGTTCAACAGCAAAAAAATAAGAAAAAATCCGAACACAACATACCGAAGAAGAAGAAGAAACTGCCAAAGGTATTACCTGCCGAGAGAGATTTCCAAGGGGGAGGAGCAATTAGGCCACGTGAGATGCGAACCACGGGAGGGAGATGCGAACGAGAGCACAAAGGGCACGGGAGTATATTAATGTGAACGAAACGTGGTCCACGGGAATCATCCCGCAGGCCGCGTGTTTCACAAATAAAAATCGTAGCTTTTGAATAAGCCGACGAAACACGTGAAACAAATGGTATGACTTCGTTTTCAAAACGCCGCCCGCACTTATAAGCTGCCCCAAACACACTTATAAGCTACCCCAAACGGGCCCCAAATGATGAAAGACCAGCTAAATCAAATTATATGCATGAAAGGCAAAGAGAATGCCACTATTTATACGGATGTCTCTTATAGACATATTAGTGTTCCTAATTAGTGTTACTAAAAGAATACTTAAGCTCTACAACCCAAAGAATAAAGCTTGTCTGGCATGGAGGGATGGTTATTCAAAGTACATGCTCTGAAGAGTTTGTATTTCTCAATGAGCCCACAAGGAGTATGATTTTCTTATTATTCGAGTCTAATACTACAACCAAATCCAATCCAAAAGCCGACAATTATTTAAGTGGAGTTCAGCACAATTGGTATCAATGGAGACAATTAAGATAACTTACAAATTCCTAACCCTCTTTTAAATACCTTCTCCTTTACAAATGAAATATTGATTGTAAACTTCTTAAATATTTTCAGAAATTTTGAAAATTGCATATCCAACTTCTGTTGTTTGTCGAAGTCTCTGAGGAAATCTGAGGAAATGGAGATGGTGGTTTTTCTAAATCAATTTTTTGCGGAGAAATAGGTCTTTCAGAATTTCTTCTATTTATCTCTTATACTTCGATGAAAAAGAGTGAAGTGAAGCTTTTATTGGCTATCTAAATGCAGTGTCCATTGTAGTAAATGTCATCGTAAAAAGTCATAATATACTATAATAACAAAAAAGTCAATACATTCGCTCTATATTTTGTGTTATGAAAAAGTAATCCCTTAAGTTCTCAATTGTGATCGCGCTTTAAAAATATCAGTCTACATATTTTTATATGATTAATAGGACACGGGAACTTTTGTTCTGAAAAATTTAAAGTTTAAAAGAGACTATTTGTTTAAATGTTCTTGATTAACAAAAAGATTTGTTTGCCTTCTTTCAATAATATAGGACTACTTTACCTTGATAACCTAGAGGAAAAGGGTAAAGTTAAATGCGTAATTCTAATCACAAACCATTTTCTTAAACTCGTGTTCCTCTCAACCAGTAAAAATGTTTCACTCGAGCTCATCCTTGGTCAAATCCAATACACACTCCATCAAGGGGTGTAACGCACATTCACAACAAACCAAATATCCTATTGTTCTCTCTCTAAAACCATAAGGCTATGTGCTCATCATAAGAACCCCAAATCTAAAAGTGATATACATGAGGTCCTAAAATGATACTTTCATGAAACCCTAATTCTTCAACTAAATTTAGCTATCATATCCTCTTCATCATCCAGTATTGGTCTTGATCCACCACTCTAAAGTGCATGATCTTCTTTTTCACTTCTTTCATTGATCTTAAATGCTATTCTCCACTCTGAAGCACATCATTTGCTAACAGCAATAAAGTTAATTAAATCAACAACTAGGGATTGGATATAGTATCAAAACAACAAACCATAAGGATTAGAATTCATAACATAGGTTTTTCTACACTTACCAGTCTCTGAATTTCATGATTTTTTTACTTGAATCTATGGTAGACGATAACTTCTAGCTAAAGTGTTAACATGTTAAACCTAGGCTTGTGCAGGCAATAAATAGAAAACATAAAAAAAGTATTACACTATCTCAACGTTGAAATAACCAATTTCTTTGAGCACGTACCAGCTATTTTTTATAATTTATAGTGACAAATATAGATCTTAAGATTTTATTTTATATATAAGGTGTCATAGCAGACATAAGCATCAAATATATAACGTTCATCTAATAATGTAATAATAGTCTAAGAAGCCTCTAGAATAGTATTTCCAATTCTCACTCATCAACAAACAATCAAATACATCACCTTAAACGCCTTGCTTCTATAAATTATACTGATAAATGGTTAAGCCATGAACAACTGTATAAAGTTCACGATCTAAGATTTGAACGTCCACAGTGAAGGAATATTACAACCACATTTCAATAAAAAAAAAAACACAAAACTTCAAAGGCATGTTATTTAACTTAAAAGATGGCCAAAACCTCAAACGATATCATAATCAGCATTTTCAAAAAAGAATATTTGTGCCCCATTTCTGACAAATATTAAGACTTAAAGAGACAATTCATTTTCATAGACATTTTTAGAATTACTGTGTATCTAATTAAAGTGGAAATAAAATATTGATAACAAAAATACACCCCCTTCTCTCTATCTCTCTTTAGCCAACGTTCCAACATTATGGCCTCACCTTACTTCTCTCTCATTACTCTCTTTAGTTTATCTTAACTTGATATTGTTATAGTCAATGTCAACCATACCATTTAGCCTTCCTATGGTGCCACAAGCCACTGCTAGCCTCTCTCCACAGCAACCCTCTTTAGCCCTTCAAACTCTCAATTTTCACCCCTCAAATGCTCACAAATTATGAACTAACAAGAGTACAGTTTAACGCTTGCAAAATAATTATAAAAAGATAAATTTTAAAAGGAATAATTTTGAAATCATATAAAAGAAATTATACTGTTTAATGGTTAACCCATGAACAGATTTATAAAGTTCGCGATCTAAAATTTGAACGTGCATAAAAAATGAATATTACAACCACATTTTAATAAAAAAAACAAACTTCAAAGGTATATTATTTAACTTAAATGATGGCAACACCTCATAAGATATCATAATCAACATTCCCCAAAACAAAAAAAACATTTGTGCCCATCTCTGACAAATGTTAAGACTTAAAAAAGACAATTCATTTGTCATAGACATTTTTATTAGTAGTGCATATCTAATTCACGCGGAAATAAAATTTTGAAAATATAAATATACCGCCTCTTCTCTCTCTCTTTTTAGCGAATCTAACGGCATTGAAACCTCACCTTACTTCCTACTCATCACTCTCTTTAGTTTCTCATAACTTGATATTGTTATTGTCAATATCAACCAAACCATTTAGCCTCCCATGATCCACAAGCCACCGCTAGACTCTCTCCACACCAACCCTCTTTAACCCTTCAAACTCTCAATTTTCACCACTTCAATGCTCACTAATTACTAATCATGAAACACGAGAGAATTGTTGAAGACTTGCAAAATAATTATAAAGAACTAGCAAATTTTCAAAGCAATAATTTTGAAAACATATAAAAGAAACGTCATCATTTCATCTTAATCTAATATTCTAAAGTTATTAAAACCTCAATATGATATTAGAGTTAACCCAAACCACAATAAAAAACCAAAATATTATTATTGAAATTCAACGGTTACACTGAAGTCTCGTCAAAATAAGAAATAAAACACAAACAAACACGATGACATGACTCTCCTGCGAAGGCGTGGCGGAAGGTCAGTGAATAGTGGTGAGGCAGATAGGGAAAGGTGGTGGTAGGCTGCTGGATATGGCCTGGAGGATGAGGGAAACGGGAAGGTTTAGGAGGGCAG